CTTACTCCTTGGAAGGAAAGTTATGACCAACCTAGATAGCATATTAAAAAGCAGAGACATTACTTTGCCAACAAAGGTCCGTCTAGTCAAGGCTATGGTTTTTCCAGTGGTCATGTGTGGTTGTGAGAGTTGGACGATAAAGAAAGCTGAGCACTGAAGAATTGATGCTTTTGAACTGTGGTGTTGGAGAAGACTCTTGAGAGTCCCTTGAACTGCAAGGAGATCCAACCAATCAGCCCTAAAGGATATCCGTTCTGAATAACCATTGGAAGGACTGATGCTGAAGCTGAAACTCCAATTATTTGGCCACCTAATGTGAATAACTGACTCATTGGAAAAGCCCTTGATACTGGGAAAGACTGAAGGCAGGAGGAGAAGGGGATGACAGAGGATGAGATGGTTGGATGGCATCACCAACTCAATGGACATGGGTCTGGGTGGACTCCGGGAGTTGATGATGGACAGGGAGGCCTGGGGTGCTGCAGTTCATGGGGTCTCAAACAGTCAGACACGACTGAGTGACTGAACTGAACTGAATCAAAAAGTGGGAAAAAAGACCTAAGCAGACATTTTTCCAAAGAAAACATGTAGATGGCTAACAAACATATGAAAAGATGCTCAACATCACTCATTAATAGAGAAATGCAAATCAAAACTACAATGAGATATCACCTCTCAAGGGTCAGAACGGCCCTCATCAAAAAGTCTACAAACAATAAATGCTGGAAAGGGTGTGGAGTAAAGGGAGCACTCTTGCACTGTTGTTGGGAATGTACTTCCGTACTATGGAAGACAGTATGGAGATTCCTTTTAAAACTAGGAATAAAACCACCATATAACCCAGCAATCCCACTCCTGGGCATATACCCCGAGGAAACCAAAATTGAAAGAGAGACATGTATCCCATTGTTCATTGCAGCACAATTTACAATAGCTAGAACATGGAAGCAACCTAGATGTCCATCAATAGATGAATGGATAAAGAAATTGTGGTATATATACACAGTGGAATATTACTCAACCATTAAAAGAAACACATTTGAGTCAGTTCTAATGAGGTGGATGAACCTAGAACCTATTATAGAGAGAGAAGTGAGTCAGAAAGAGAAAGATAAATACCATATTCTAACACATATATACAGAATCTAGAAAAATGGTAATAAAGAATTTATTTAGAGGGCAACAATGGAGAAACAGACATAGGGAATAGACTTAGGGACTTGGGGAGAGGCGAGGAGAGGGTGAGATGTATGGAAAGAATAACATGGAAACTTACATTACCATAGGTGAAATAGATAGCCAATGGGAATTTGCTGTATGGCTCAGGAAACTCAAATAGGGGCTCTGTATCAACCTAGAGGGATGGGATGGGGAAGATGGGAGGGAGGTTCAAAAGGGAGGGGATATCTGTATACCTATGGCTGATTTATGTTTAGGTTTGAGAGAAAACAGCAAAATTCTGTAAAGCAATTATCCTTCAATAAAAAAATTAAGTAATTAATTGAAAAAAAGATGTGATTTGCTTATTATATTTTGTTTGTAGGTCAAGTCAGGATTTTTCCATGAAAGTGATTCCAAAGCTGTTGCTAAGTCCATTAGAGACCGCGTGACCCTGATAAAGAAGACAAGGGAGAAAAAGCCAGCTGGCTCTTTGGAAGAACGCAGGTATTCCCAATGCAAGTCTTTAGGGAGTGTACTCGCTCAGCCCCAAAATACATCTTTGCCCCCTCCTCCTGTTCAGCACACTGGGGCGGAATGTGAAGAAACTGAAGTTGATCAACATGTGCGACAACAGCTTCTACAAAGAAAACCACAACATCATTGCTCTTCTGTTACAGGTGACACAGTTATAATATATAAAAGAAAACATGTAATTGTATTCTGTTATCTTTAAATAGTACTTTTGTATGTTTCAAAGGATTTTGTTATCTGTCCTTTCATTAATCCTTCTCCAAAATCCCTAGACAAGCCAGCTAGTTTCCTTACTTTAAAATTAAGAAACTGTTCTGTTAAGTGACTTGTCCAAGGAGTTGAATAAGGATTATAATCTTTTTACCATTTTTAAGGGTCTAACATGAATCTTTTAGTAAAGGAAATATGAATCTAAAGATAGAACTTATTTTTCAAGAGGAAATTTTCTAGACTATAAGACCTTTGTATTTTAGACTCAAGTATAAATTAACAGTTTGTCTAATTTTTCTGGCTGTAATGCATTCTCTTCTCTAGAAGGACAGAGTGTTTTCATAGTAATAACCCATTTTCTATAAAGGCAGCATTATTTTGTAGCCAAGTTCTATGAAAATGAGAATATGCCACTTAAAATTAACTGAAATCCTATTGGCACACATAGATTAGTTAGGATATGCATGAAATGGCCAGCAGATTGAGTTAACTTTTATGTAATTCTTTGTAGTTTTGCTTTACTAATAAAATTTTAGTTATACCATAATATCAGCATGGAAAGTTTACATGATGATTTTTGATTAATTCTGCAGTGTACATATCTTATTTGAAGCTGTTTCAGGTTATCAGAGTAAAAAAGAAAAAAAAGAGCGCTTACCATTTCCTATGCCATCTGGACCTTGTGTTTTGAATTTTTCCCTTTTACCTTATTTTCTTTGTCATAGGTGACAATTTGTCTGAGGCAGGAGCAGGATCAGCTTTACACTCAGATACTTCAAATCAGCCCACTGTAGCCTACTCCTCAGACCAGATTATGGGCTCTCAAATGGTTTCTAACTTGCCGCAGACCGAAATAAATGTTCTGGAGAAAATTTATCCATCCCAGCAACTAGTGGGACATTACCAGCAGATTTCAGGGGTGAGATGAACTGTTAAACTTTTAAATATATCATCAGTATATTTACTGTAGATTGGAGAATTTATCTTTAATCTTTTTGTTCTTATTTAACAGTTGCAGAAGCAGCCAAAGCTGACTCAGCCCCAAATTTTGCCTTTGGTTCAAGGTCGGTCCACTATTTTGCCTGTACATGTCTTTGGACCTCCAGTTGTCCCACCACCCCAGGTTTCGCCTTTAATTGTCCCAAAGGCCTCACAGATAAAGGTGAGATACATTTTAGAGCCTCTGTATTCAGCTAAACATATTTAACACTGCCTAGGGCTTTCCTAGTAGCTTGGGCTTCCCTGGTAGCTCAGCTGGTAAAGAATCCACCTGCAATGTGGGAGACCCCAGTTCGATTCCTGGATCAGGAAAGTCCCCTGGAGAAGGAATAGGCTACGCACTCCAGTATTCTTGGGCTTCTCTGGTGGCTCAGGTGGTAAAGAATTTGCCTGCAATATGGGAGACCTGGGTTCGATCCCTAGGTTGGGAAGATACCCTGGAGGAGAGCATGGCAACCCACTCTAATATTCTTGCCTGGGGAATCCCCATGGACAGAGGAGCGTGGCAGGCTACAGTCCTTGGGTTCACAAAGAGTCAGACATGACTGAGCAACTAAGCACAGCACAGATTTTCTGACAGGCGAAGGCTGTCTTACATAGATTCATCCTAGCTTATATAAAAGTCACTGAAAGCTTAAAGTTGTTTATATTTTCCTTCACTATGACATTCATCTTCAAAACAAAACAAAACAAAACAAACAAACAAAAAAAGACATTCATCTTGAGGATGTGCCTAATACTGTGTAACTAGAATCTTGAGACACTGCTTATATAATTGGAAAAGAAACTGAGAATTCCATATACAGATAAAAAATTTATTTAGGACTCTAATCCCTTTTTCTTGGTTTGTTTTTTGTGTTGGACTTTTCAGCCTGATTTGAATGTGGAGGAATGTCTTTTGTAGATAATTAGAAATAGTATCTCATAGACTGTTATAATTTTTAGCACTTTGATCTAAATTCTTGACTTGTTTTGTTCACATTTATTTCTGTAGAAGAAAATGTTTTTTTTTTTTTTATTTAGACTGTCCAAGTCAACATTACTCATTTCTGACAATGAGTGCACAGTCTTTCTGAGCGTTCATATATCAGTACTATATCCTGGTTTCCTAGGTTATAGACTTTGGTTACATGGTTGGGCTTTTCTTTGCGATCCCATTTTCTTTTCTCAACTTCACTATCCCCTGTGTGTGTCTTCTCTCTTTGGGAATGAGCTGGTCTGAGTTCCTAGGCATTCTCTGTATATGACTTAGTTAGCAGCTGGTGCATATGTTGATTTTAAGAGATTAGTACATAGTCATAGTTCATCAGCACACTTTTAATAACCGCCATCTCTGGGAGTGTAAAATAAGATAAAATATTGTCCTTGCCCTCAAGAAGCTCAATCTTGTAGGGGAAGACATACACATACTTGACAAATGCCAGATGCATTTAAAATCTGCTGGGGATATATTTAATCTGGTATAGTTGACAGTACATGGTATTTGGCTAGTGTTTGTAGCTTATATGGTATATGTTCATTCTTGAGCTCATGTTGTGGTTGGGTTTATCTCTTTTTAAGACTATAATGCAAAGTGTGTTGGATGGATGCTTAAATTAATAATAATAACTTAGGTTCAACAACATAAATATACAGGTATGTGTATTTTGAAAAAAAAAGGTTAAAAATTTATGAAAGTGTATTTTACCTATTTAAAATAAAGCCTACAAAGTTATAAAGAAGACAGTAAATATCATCTACTATCTCTCCAGTTGGAAATAAATTATCATTTATATTTGGGGATAGAGACTCTAGATTTGACTCTGGTTCAGATCATGAACTCATTGCCAAATGCAGACTGAAATTGAAGAAAGTGGAGAAAACCACTAGACCATTCAGGTATGACCTAAATCAAATCCCTTATGACTATACAGTGGAAGTGAGAAATAGGTTTAAGGGACTAGATCTGATAGAGAGCCTGATGAACTATGGACGGAGGTTCGTGACATTGTACAGGAGACAGGAATCGAGATCATCCCCAAGAAAAAGAAATTCAAAAAAGCAAAATGGCTGTCTGAGAAGGCATTACAAATAGCTGTGAAAAGAAGAGAAGTGAAAAGCAAAGGAGAAAAGGAAAGATACACCCATTTGAATGCAGAGTTCAGCAATATGTGAACCGTGAGCTTGCAGATGTTCAAGCTGGTTTTAGAAAAGGCAGAGGAACCAGAGATCAAATTGCCAACATCTGCTGGATCATCGAAAAAGCAAGAGAGTTCCAGAAAAACATCTATTTCTGCTTTATTGACTATGCCAAAGCCTTTGACTGTGTGGATCACAATAAACTGTGGAAAATTCTGAAAGAGATGGGCATACCAGACCACCTGACCTGCCTCTTGAGAAAGCTGTATGCAGGTCAGGAAGGAACAGTTAGAACTGGACATGAAACAGCAGACTGGCTCCAAATAGGAGAAGGGGGTACATCAAGGGTGTATATTGTCCCCCTACTTATTTAACTTATGTGCAGAGTACATCATGAGAAACGCTGATCTGGATGAAGCACAAGCTGGAATCAAGATTGCCGGGAGAAATATTAGTAACCTCAGATATGCAGATGACACCACCCTTATGGCAGAAAGTGAAGAAGGACTAAAAAGCCTCTTGATGAAAGTGAAAGAGGAGGGTGAAAAAGTTGGCTTAAAGCTCAACATTCAGGAAACTAAGGTCATGGCATCCAGTCCCATCACTTCATGGTGGCAAATAGATGGGGAAACAGTGGCTGACTTTATTTTTCTGGGCTCCAAAATCACCACAGATGGTGATTGCAGCCATGAAATTAAAATGCTTACTCCTTGAAATGAAAGTTATGACCAACCTAGACAGCATATTAAAAAGCAGAGACATTACTTTGCCAGCAAAGTTCCATCTAGTCAAGGCTATGGTTTTTTCCACTGGTCATGTATGGGTGTGAGAGTTGGACTATAAAAAAAGCTGAGCATTGAAGAATTGATGCTTTTGACCTGTGGTGTTGGAGAAGACTCTTGAGAGTCCCTTGGACTGCAAGGAGATCCAACCAGTCCATCCTAAAGGAGATCAGTCCTGGGTGTTCATTGGAAGGACTGATGTTGAAGCTGAAACTCCAATAATTTGGCCACCTGATGTGTAGAGCTGACTCATTTGAAAAGACCCTGATGCTGGGAAAGATTGTGGGCAGGAGAAGGGGATGACAGAGGATGAGATGGCTGGATGGCATCATCGACTCAATGGACATGGGTTTGATTGAATTCCGAGAGTTGGTGATGGACAGGGAGGCCTGGCATGCCTGGATCATGGGGTCGCAAAAAGTCGGACACGACTGAGCGACTGAACTGGACTTCTGTCGTTAAATCTTATGAATAAATGAACTCTAGATTTGTCTTTTTTCTGGATATACATATATAACTTTATTTATACATACATATGTATATCACATACATATTATTTTGTAGCCCGCCTTTTTCATGTAATATTTAGAATCCACATAAGCAAGCAGTTTGACCAATGGGGATCTTTTCATAAACCTGGTCATTTAAGTTCTGGGAATTATTACAGCCAGCCTATATATATTCAACCAACTCTCTCCTCTCCTCTTGAGAGACCTTCTTTATTCCTTTTAGCTATGATATTAGAATCATTTTAAGCTTTCTCTTAGAACTTCCACTTTCTGGTGTGTGAAGGTGTCAGATTCAGTTACTCTGAATTTCTGCCATGGTTTGAATGAGTTATGTGGCAAGTTCAAGAGGCCATGAGCAATATATTGTTGGGGGCTGTTCTCAGTCTATTACTGTCTTTAGTTAACATTTACTTGTGGTGTTATTAATAGAATTTTTATAGGACTAACACTATACCCAGCACCTTTTTGATAACTTCCTAAAATCTTTACAGTGTGTTAGTCGCTCAGTTGTGTCCAACTCTTTGAGACCCCATGGACTGTAGCCTGCCAGGCTCCTCTGACCATGGGATTTTCCAGGCAAGAATACTGGAGTGGGTTGCCACTTCCTTCTCCAGTGATCTTCCTCACCCAGGGACTGAACCCAGATCTCCCGCATTGCAGGCAGATTCTTTTATTGTCTGAGACACCAGGGAAGCCCCAAATCTTTACAACATAGCATTATTTTACCTATCATTCTGTCTGGGACTCTCCCCATTAAATTGGACATGGTATATACATTTATTTTATTTTTAATTGAAAAAATTGTTGGCCACACTCTGCAGCTTGTGGCATCTTAGTTCAATCAGGGATTGAGCCCAGGGCCCTGACAATGAGAGCACCGAGTCCTCACCATTGGACATCAGAGAAATCCCATGGTACATGCATTTGTAATTTGAATTTTTTTCCGTCAGCACCAGGAACTACAGCTGAGTTTGGGAGCGGATGTACACATTTTAGCTCAACCTGTGACTTTAGACTTGTCAGTTACTGGAGTTCCACAACCAGTCTTGTTTACAATTTCTCCTTGGACATTGCGTGCTTCACAAATGATTTTCCAGGATCTAATGGTTGGTCTTCAACTTGAACTTGACCCTAGAAATGGGAATCAGGCATTAACCAAATTACCAAATGCCAGTCAAATTTCTAGTTTCTTTTCAGTTAATCACCTCTAGCTTTGTCAAGTTATTCTTTTGCCCAACTTGTGAGCAGTGCACAGAATGCTGGTGGTACTGCTCAGCGCCCTTCTAATTGCATTGAGATGTATTCAAGGGCCCATCAGCCTTCACAAAAGATACATTCAGTATCCTAGCCATAATCAGTGGTATACCAGGAGTCTGTAATTCCAGATTCTTCAGTTCCACAAAGCCAGACTGCATTTAGAGAAGCCTTGTTTCCAAGCCTCTATTCAGCAGCAGCCATTAATTTTACAACCTAAGATTATATTGTTGTTCAGTGGCTCAGTCATGTCTGATTCTTTGTGACCCCATGGACTGCAGCACACCAGGCTTCCCTGTCCTTCACTATCTCCCAGAGTTTGCTCAAACTCATGTGCATTGAGTCAATGATGCCATCAAACCATCTCATCCTCTGTCATCCCCTTCTCCTCCTGCCTTCGATGTTTCCCAGCATCAGGGTCTTTTCCAATGAGTTGGTTCTTTGCATCAGGTGGCCAAAGTACTGGAGCTTCAGCTTCAGCATCAGTCCTTCCAATGAGT